CTCAGCATACTTCGTTCGGTACATGTGCTCTCCTCCTCTTCCCTCTCCTCCTCCTCCCTCTCCTCTCTTCCTCCTCCCTCTCCTCCTCTCTCCTCCTCTTCCTCCTCCTCCTCTCCCTATCTCCCTCCTCCTCTCTTCCTCCTCCTCTTCCTCCTCCTCCTCCTCCTCCTCTTCCTCCCTCCCTCCTCTCCTCTTCCTCCTCTCTCTCCTCCCTCCCCTCCCTCCTCCTCTCTCCTCCCCTCCCTCCCCTCCTCCTCCCTCCTCCTCCTCTCCCTCCCTCCCTCCCTCCTCCTCCCTCCTCCTCCTCCTCCCTCCCTCCCTCCTCTTCCTCCCTCTTGCCTCCTCTCCCTCCTCCTCCTCCTCCCTCCCCTCTTCCTCCTCCTCTTCCCCTCCCTCCTCCTCCCTCCTCCTCTCTTCCTCCCTCCTCTTCCTCTCCCTCCTCCTCACCCTCCTCCTCCTCCTCCCTCCTCCCTCCCTCCTCTCCCTCCCTCTTCCCCTCCTCCCTCTTCCTCCTCCCTCCCTCCTCCCTCCTCCTCCTCCTCTTCTCCCTCTTCCTCCTCCCTCTCCCTCCCTCTTCCTCCCTCTTCCTCCCTCCTCCTCCTCCCTCCTCCTCTCCCTCCTCCTCCTCTCCTCCTCCTCCTCTCCCCTCCCTCCTCCTCCCTCCTCCTCCTCCTCCTCCCTCCTCTCTTCCCCTCCTCCTCCTCCTCCTATCTCCCCTCTCCTCCTCTTCCTCCTCCTCTTCCTCCTCCTCCTCCTCCTCCCTCTTCCCTCCCTCCCCTCCTCCTCCCTCCCTCTTCCTCCTCCTCCCTCCTCCTCCTCCCTCTTCCTCTTCCCTCCCTCCCTCCTCCTCCCTACTCTCCCCTCCCCCTCTCCTCCTCCTCCTCCTCTTCCTCCCTCCTCCCCTCCCTCCTCCTCTCTTCCTCCTCCCTCTCCTCCCTCCTCCTCCCTCTCCTCCTCCTCCTCCTCCCTCCTCTCCTCCTCCCCTCCCCTCTCCCTCCCTCTCCCTCCCTCCTCCCTCCTCTCCCCTCCCTCTCCTCCTCCCTCCTCCTCCTCCCTCCCTCCCTCCTCCTCCTCTTCCCCTCCTCCCTCCTCCCCTCCCTCCTCCCTCCTCCTCCCCTCTTCCTCCCCTCCTCTTCCCTCCTCCCTCCTCCCCTCCTCCTCTTCCTCTCCCTCCCTCCCTCCCTCCCTCTCTTCCTCCTCCTCCCTCCTCCTATCTCCCTCCTCTCCTCCTCCCTCCTCCTCTTCCTCCCTCCTCTCTCCTCCTCCTTTCCCTCCTCTTCCTCTGCCTCCTCCTCCTCCTCTCTCCCTCCTCCTCCTCCTCCTCCCTCCCCTCCTCCCTCTCCTCCCTCCTCCCTCCTCCTCCCCTCCTCCTCCCTCCTCTTCCCCTCCTCCTCCCTCCCTCTCCCTCCTCCTCCTCCTCCCTCCTCCCTCCCCTCCCTCCTCTTCCTCCTCCTCCCTCCTCCTCCCTCTTCCTCCCTCTTCCTCCTCCTCCTCTCCCTCCTCCTCCCCTCCTCCTCCTCCTCTCCTCCTCCTCCCCTCCTCCCCTCCTCCTCCCTCCCCTCCTCCCTCCTCCCTCTCCTCTCCCCTCCTCCCTCCCCTCCCTCTCCCTCCTCTCCTCCTCCTCCTCCCTCTTCCTCCTCCTCCTCCCTCTATCTCCCTCCCTCTCCTCTTCCTCCTCCTCTTCCTCCCTCCTCCCCTCCCTCCCTCCCTTCCCTCCTCCCCTCCCTCCCTCCTCCTCCCTCTCCCTCCTCCTCCTCTCCTCTCCTCCTCCTCCTCCTCCTCCTCCTCCTCACCTCCTCCTCCTACCTCCCTCCCCTCCTCCTCTCCTCCCTCCTCTTCCTCCTCTCTTCCTCCTCCTCCTCCTCCTCCTCCTCCTCCTCCTCCTCCTCCTCCTCCTCCTCCTCCTCCTCCTCCTCCTCCCTCCTCCTCCTCCTCCCTCCTCAGGCACTCATCAGTCTCTCTAGGGAAATAAGCCTAAGCGCTATTTCTTCCCCTCAGCATTTTTTCCCCCTGAACACGAGGTAAGTTTTTT